TATAATGTATAAAAATATATAAAATATATAAATATATATATATATTACACCACATTTCTAATCCTTTATACTTCTAGGTTCCTATTTCCCTTATGGAAATCTGGTGTATGTTATTAAAAAGATAAAATTCTGACAAAACAAATAAAACGTGTATTCTACTGACTGAAGGTGTTTAAAATCAGTGGAGGAGTCTGAGAGCTGATGCTGGGTACATGCAAGTCTCCATTTCTGATTGGGGGCAATGTGACCGCTTCTAGAGATGAGCTGGCTAACATTGCTTAGCAACAGAATATCGGAATCAAATCGATAATAATAATAATAATACTTACATTTGATATAGCACCTTATCACGTCGTCGAGACATCTCAAGGTGCTTCACTGTAAAGATATACTGTAAATTGGAGTGACTGTGTATCGTGTATACAAAACACAATAACCAATTACGCACAGTCCCACAAACAGCCATGGAGTGAGTGACCAATTTTATTTGGGGGATAATGTCCCGGGATTTTTAAAATTAACCTGAACAGGCAGACGGGACCGCAGCTTAACATGTCACCTGAAGGACTGTTTCTCCAACAACGTATCCACCAACACTGCATTGAAGTGTCAGCTTAGACTATGGGATTCCCAGTCCCTACCTGGGTTTGAACCGGAGGTGAGAGTGCTACCACTGTGCCAGGCTGACACATGATCCTCTGTGATGGTTTTGGTAGTCTGGTTCCTGGGGGTAGGGGGTGCTTCAGGCTGATGACAGACCAGCCTCTCCAAATATTCTTATCACTAAGTTTCTTTTAACCCTGTAGGCCAAAGCCCTAAGGTAGTCCAAGCAGTGTAAAGCTTGTGAGACCGTTTTCAATCACAAGCTACGTGGTTTAGTAATAATAATAATAATAATCCTTTCATTTGATTTAGCGCCTTATCACGTCTTTTAGACGACTCAAAGCACTTCACAGAATATACTGTAAAGTGAATTGACTGTAAATTTTGAGGGCGAAAAGCAGCAGCCAATTGCGCACAGCAGCGTCCCACAAACAGTTGTGGATTGTGTGACCAATTTATTTATTTTTTGAAGGAATTATTATCCCCCGAAAAGCGATCCGCCAATCGACTAACAACCGGGTTCCTACTTACTGCTAGATAAACAGAGACGTGTGAAGTAAAGAAATTTGCCTAAAGTTTCGCCCTGCCCAGGAATCAAACCCAGGTCTTCTCACTTGCAAGGCGAGTTCTCTAACCATTGAGCTATTGCCATTGAGCTATTGGACTCCACGTCCTGTTTAGCTAGTTAAGCTCTAGTGGTAATCATTCGCACACTGGGGTCCCCTTGCCAACTTGCACCTAATGCTCTCCGGAATTAGGTAAGCAGGGTGCACACATTCCATTCCAGACACGGAGAAATATCCATGTGTAGATAGCACATGTATGTGGAACTCAGTCTGGTTCAGTTGCTCTTAATATAGCATTTGATATAGTGCTTTTCACGTTTTCGAGATGTCTCAAAGCGCTTCACAGAATATACTGTAAAGTGAATTGACTGTATATTTGTGGGCCAAACGCGGCAGCCAATTGCACACAGCAGCGTCCCACAAACAAATTTGAGTTACCAAATTATTTTTTTTTCTTGAGGGAGTATTATCAGACGTGTGGAATAAGGAATCTTGCCCAAAGTTTTGGCGTGCCGCAAATCAAACCCAGGTCTCTCACTTGCAACGCGAGTGCTTTAACCACTGAGCTACAGGACTCCACAAATCTTAAGCATGTTGATGGGTTTCCGCATGTGTCAGACACCAGGCTGACCAAAAAAATAGACTTCCTATTTGTCAGGGATGGGAGGGAGGGGATTGCACTAAATATTTCATTATGTTTTGTAAATTAGACAGGTGTTTTCATGCCATGTAAGGTTGCTGAGCGGTTAAACACTGGTTGTTGAGGGGTTACACAATGATTTGAGGGGTGTTGCGTGCTTGCTGAACTCAAATGTGCTGTTTCAAAAGTCTTGTTGATTTTTAAATTGTAGGCACAAAACGTGGGAATAACATCATTACGAATTGTGTTGCCATGGCTGAATGGCCATGTGTGGTGGGTGATGTGCTGTAGGCACTGTGATCAGAGGCCACATTGTGAAGGAACACAGGATTGAAGCTGCACAGAAAACTGTACTGAGGTCAGGTTTATTCATACCCCAAATGTTTTTCCGTTGGTGTATTGTGTTAATAGAGACAGAGATGCCTTCATTCATAACAAGTTAACCCTAACATCACTGAAGATGATGTCCTGTACCCAGTGATAATTCTAACAAAGAAACCAGTTGTTGAGAGCTGGTTGAGGTTAGCATTTGTGGTGCCCTTGAAAATGTATACATTGCTTTTATTATCTTTGCTGTTACTGAGCTTCCACACTGGTTGTTCAAACAACAACAACTTGCATTTATATGGGGCCCATAAATAGTCGTGAGCCTGACACCGAGCCAGGAAGGAAGGAGGTGACTGTAAGCAAGGTTGAAGAGGAAGATCTTCAGGTGTGATCTAAAAATGGGGAAGGAGGGTTTGACAGTTCCAAAGTTTCAGAGCGTAGTGGCTATAAACTCGGCCGCCGATGGTGGACCAGAGGGGAGGAGGAGGAGGCCAGAGGTGGCGGGTGGTCAGGTGGGGAATGAGCAGGTCAGAGAGATAGGGAAGTGCTAGGGCACAAAGTGCTTTGTAGACATGTGTAAGGATCTTGAAGTCGATTCATTCTGTGATAGGGAGCGAGTAGAGCCTGGTAAGGACTGGTGAGATTGGGCTATTGAGTTTAGAATAGGTGAGTTCACGGGTGGCCGAGTTTTGAGTTAGTTGCATTTCGTAAATGGTGGCGATGGGGAGATTGGTGAGGAGGGAATTGGTATTGTCCAGCCAGGAAATGACGAAAGCATGGACAAGGGTTTCCGTTGCATTGGATGTGAGGTATGGACAGAGGTGGCCAATATGATGGAGGAGGAGGAAAGTGGTCCTGATCAGGGATCGAATGTGGGGAAGGAAGGACAGCTATGGATTGAACCTGACGTCTAGATTACGCACAGATTCAGTAAGTCGGAGGGATAGGCCGGGGCGGTTGAGGAGGTCAGAGCAGTAGGAGAGAAGACGTTGAGGAGCCAAGGAGTATGGCTTCCATCTTGTCGTCATTCAGCTGCAGGAAGTTTACAGTCATTCAGGTCTTGATGTCTGACAAACAAGCTGACAGAACATCAGCGAACTGGGAGTCGCACTTGGATGAGGAGAAGTAGATTTGGGTGTCATCCGCATACATGTGGAAGTTTACCATGGGTCTGTGGATGATAGACGAGAAGGAGCATGTAAATAAGGGAAACAAGGGCCTAAAGATGGAGCTTGGGGTATGCTTGGGATTATGTTTGGTCTCCAGACTGTCTTGGGAATGGAAAGCAGCTTTGGCTGTGAGGGAGAGGCAGTAGGTACAAAGATGCTCAAGCCACGTCTGGTGGTGAACCAAGTTTTTGTGCCTTTCTGTCCAATATTGAGAGGGAAGTATTTATGAGGGAAAAGTTGGTGAGCAGAGAATTAGCAAAGTCCAGCCTGGAGGTGATAAAATCACAGTTAAGGGTCTTGGCTGCCCTAGGAGAGAGGTAATGGTGGAGGTGGGGAAAAGCTCAACAGATATGTGGTTTAGATAATTGAGAAGCCAACAAGACACAGAGGTTCCATAATTGAATTAGGTTAGATAATCAGCCATGATCTTGCGGGGCAGGCTCAAGGGGCCGAATGGCCTACTCCTGCGTATTATGGTCTTAATGGCTCAGTAAGTTGGAGTTTGCATCCATGTTTGGAGATGCTGTGAGTCCCAGAGATTAAAAGGCGCTGACAGTTGCCAGGCAAGAGAGCCTCTGTTTTGTCGACATTCAATTGGAGAAAGTTAGCTCTCATCCAGGACTTGATGAATGACAGGCAATCGGTCAGGACAGCAGTGGTCTTGGAATCGAGGATGGAGGCAGAAAGATAGAGTTGGATGTCATCTGCATACATATAGAAGTTAGCCCTGGATGACATTACCAAGCGAGAGCATATAATAGAGGAGAGGACTCAGAATAGAGCTCTGTGGAACGCCACAAGTAACGGTGCGGAGGTAATAGGATAAACACTTAGCAGATACGAAGTGAAGACGCTGGGAAAGGTAAGAATGTAATCAAGTGAGGCGCAGAACCATGAAGGTGGAGCAGAATAGAATGGTCAACAGTGTTAAAGGTGGCAAAGAGATCAATAAGGCAAAGAGGCAGAGAAAGACTTGGCCACAGATGGAAAGAATGTAATTTGTGACTTTGACCACTCCATAATATGAGCAGAGTGGAATCCAGATTGGAGGTGTTCATATAAGGAATGTAGGAAGAGAAAAGAGTGAAGTTGGGAAGCAACAACTCTTTCCAATACTTTGGAGAGGAAAGGACAGTTGGAAATGGGACAGTTATTAGGGAATAGTGACAGATCAAGGGACTTTACTGGAATTCCTGTACTCTCTTGTGCTCTCAGTTGGGATTGTAGATTCTTCTAGCTTTTCTGATTTCTCAGTGGGAAGTCCATCTTCTGCTGAACATTGTTTATTGGTTGCAGTGGATCATGCCACGAATACATACGTCATTGTCTAGCTAACCCGGTAGCCAGTTTTCCTCCCTACTTAGGCATTGGTTTCCCTCTGGGGAAGAGATGTGACTATTCGTCAAGACCAGGATTGGAGTTTGAGACTTTGTTTTGTGATTGATGCTGTGCGATTGCACCCACTGGGCCACCCATCATGGAACTGTATTGTGATGGCCAGTTGTCATTTTAAGCCTTCCATTAGTGACCTTGTCTGTTAAAATGTTGCTCCTAGGGAGACTGAAGATTTCATTTGCAGAACCAGCAGTGTGCAAAGCCTTGAGAAATGCCAGCTCCTAAAGAGAATGATTTTTAAAAAGGTTTTTCAGAGATTCCTGATGCCTAATGTGTGTTTCAATTTGTTCTTCCGCACAGATGGACTCTCCTGCCTCCACCCCAGCACCCCCGTCCTTGCACCTCTTGCCGCCTGTGAGCAGCGGTGTGGCCTCCCCAGTGGAGCAGATTATGGTGCGCACACGCTCAATCGCAGTTAATACCTGCGACGTTGGACTTGCGACAGAGCCTGAGTGCTTAGGCCCTTGTGAACCAGGGACAAGTGTGAACCTAGAGGGGATTGTCTGGCAAGAAACCGAGGATGGTAAGAACATAAAATGAGATTTTTTGGTGTTATGTTACCTTTTGGTTTAATATCGACTTGGCTAGATTGTGGTGGATCTGCAGCAGAGCAGATTTTGGCTTGCATACATCTCAATATTTTCTAAGTTAATTGTTATTTTGTGATAAGTCCGTTAAAATGCCAGTGGCTCCATTCCCAGAAAATCTGTGTTGAAACAGTTATTTTTGAATGTATGTATTTTTAAAAATCAATATATTGGGTTCAAACATTTTTCAGTTTAGGCATTAGGCAGCTGAGTTGCCTATCGTGCATTTGATGAATACAGTGATAATCCTTGCATTTAGTTTAGTCTTATCACGTTGCCAAGATGTCTCAAAGCGCTTCACAGGAATTTACTCTGAAGTCTAGTGACTGTGTATTTTGTTAGGAGAATGTAGCAGCCAGTTTGCCCACAGCATTGTCCTACAAACAGCCATGAAGTGAATTATTTTGGGGATTGTTGCCTAGGATATAATGCAACACCAAATTGTATTTTCTTTCAAATAAAGTGAATTTGCTGTGAAATGTGGATCCTCCTGCTGATCCTCCTAGGGATTGCTCTGGTAAAAGGTTTTCTTGTGTGGCTATGATTTACAAATGGAGAATTAGGAAAATCTGAAGTAAAAACGAGGAAAGTAATGTGAACTGGAAGCCAGAGTGGGGTGATGAGGGAACGTGATGAGCAAGAGATACAGGAATATGTCACAGGCAGTGGGAGCTGGGAAGTGCTGAGCTCACTATTAGTCCACACCTGTTCCTTGCCAAAGAGTTAAACAAGCTGTGGGTAGAAGTTGCCTGGTGATTAGATTTACACATTAACCGCCTGGGAAAAACAAGTGCTTTGTGATAAAAGGAGCTGTATAAATTGTAAGTATATTAACCAGCAAATCGAATAAATAGAATCCAATATCAAGTAAAAACTGTAAAGGATATCTCCCTACAGAGTAGTCTGGGTATATGATATGTCAGTAGAATCCACTTCCTCCTTGACTGCAACAACAACAAATAACATTTGTAAAGCGCCTTTCACATTGGGAGGACATCCCAAGGTGCTGGGCAGTCAGAGATTTGGATCCAAGCTGGGGGTTGGGATTGGGAGAGGGTGGAGAGCAGGAGGGTGCCGCTATCAAAGAGGAGGGTCTTGCACCTGTAACTGGTCTCTTGTGAGTGAGGAAAAACAAGTCTTGGATTTGGGGTTTGCTGTGACTGATCCTAATTAACAGAGCTGGAGGGGGGGGTGGTCATCATTCCTGCCTCAGGAAGGAGGGTTTGGGGAGAATTTTATTTAGAGAAATGATCTGTATTCTGGATCTTACTCTGAACAGGAGCAAGGCCCATTGTTCAGAAGTAATGATAAACGGGGCAACATTGGGAGCAGCTGCAGGTGGATCTGGCGACCTGACTGTTTTGTAGTTTGAAATGTGTCTGGTTTATTTACAATGTGGCCCTGTCTGAGCAGGAGCAACAGAGTTCTGGGAGGGAGTGAATGGAGATGGAATGAGTGGAGGTTTGAAATATGTTTACATTTTGTAGAGTAAATATTAGTTGATCATAGCATTGGAGAAATGAGGTGTTGTGGTTAGTTGACCTCGGCAGTATTGAACTATCCTAAAGACTGCGAGTGAGTCTGTGATGGATATCGCCCTACATAGTAGTCTGTTTGTGTAACATTTCAGCAGGATGCCCTTCCTGCACTGCTCCTTCACTGCACCTGTAACTGAGCGCTTTCGAGTGAGGAGAAAAAGAGCCCTGGACTTGGATTTGGGGGTTGCTGCAGTTGATCCTAATAAATGTCCCAAGGAGGATGGAATCATTGCTGCCTCGGGAAAGGGACAGTTTTCCTTAGAGACACAATCCAATATTGACAGTGCCCTCAAACTGGCTGAGCAGTACCTAACCCTAATTGGTCATGCACTTCCTGGAGCTAAAGACAAGAGCCAGTTCTCTGCCACGAGCACTTATTTATTTTCTCCCTGAAAGCAAAGAAGCGGAAAAAGTGAAAGCACCATAAAAAGAGAAGTAGGCAATTCAACCCCTCAAGCTTGTTCCGCCAGTCTGGACGATCATGGCTGATCTGTACCTCAAGTCTAATTACCTGCCCTTGCCTTGAATCCCTTAATACCCTGACTTAAGAAATATCTATCCACCTCAGTCTTGAAAATGTGAATGGATGCAGCTATAATCCACAGCCTTTTGGGGGAGAGAGTTCCAAATTTCTTCTCCCCATTAGATGATAAAATGCCTCCTAATTTCACTCCTAAATGGCCTGGCTCTAATTTTAAGATGATGCCCCTTGTTCTGGATTCCTCTACCACAGGAAATAGTTTCTCTGTATCTACCCTATCGAATCCCTTTATTATTTTCAAAACCTCAATCTTCTAAACTCAAGGGAATGCAGACCACGTTTATGCAACCTGTCCTCATAATTTAACCCTTTTAGCGCTAGTATCATTCTGGTGAATCTGCGCTGCACCCTCTCCAGAGCCAATATATCCTTCCTGAGGTGCAGTGCCCAAAACTGAACGCAGTCTCTAGATGGGGTCTGACCAAGGTTTTATAAAGTTGAAGCATCATTTCCTCTTCTTTATATTCCAGCCCCTTGAAATAAACATCCCATTAGCCTTTTTGATAACTTTTTGCACCTGTGAGCTTGTTTTTAGTGATTTGTGGTCATGGATACCCAAATCTCTTTACTTCTCCACAGTTCTCAGTTTCTCCCCATTTAGAAATTATTCTGTTTTGCTATTTTTGGATCCATAGTGGATGACCTCACACTTCCCATATTAAACTCCCATCTGCCACAGTTTTGACCACTCACTAAGTCCCTTGTAACTTCCTGCTCCCATCTACACAATTTATTGTGCCTCCTAACTTTGTGTTATCTGCAAATTTGGATTTGCAGGGAGTGGGGGCCAGGGCATAACATGGAAAAATATTAATAAAACATTTATAAATATTAAATTATGAAAATATTAATAATCACTTAGAGAACCGAAGGTTGATTAAAGGCAGTCAGCGTGGATTTGTTAAAGTCAGGTCTTTGCTTCAAATCTAGAAGATTTCCTGGAGCATAATTACCAAAATAAAATTAGTGATTTACTTCAGGGTTGTTTGTGGGACAAAGCTGTGTGCAAATTGGCTGTCATAATTTGCCTACAAAATACACAGTCATTACACTTTAAAGTATATTCCGTGAAGCAAAAGTGAAAGAACAACATGCATTATATAGAGTCCTTCATTCCGGGTAGTGTCTTGGAATGCTCAAAAGGTGCAAATATGAGGATTATTATTTATTGTTATAGGAGTTGTTTATTTGAAATAACAGAATAGTTAAAAGTAATGCTGTGGATATGGTGTACGTGGATTGACGCTACCATTATTCAGAAATGAGGGAGGTGTTTTTCAAAATACATTGTAACAATGTTTTTTAAGTAAGCAATAGATTGTGTTTAGGAAAACTAGTTTTTAAATCCAAATATTTCAAGCAGGTGGTAGAATTTGAGGAATTTTTTTGTTAGTTCTTCTGGTGATGCAGAGCAGACAACATGTGCTCACATCCTGCTTACACTGCGACCGTGAACTGCAGGTGGCTCTGAAATTTGTTCTGCTGTGCGTCAAGCAGCCTGGGACACAGAACCATGGAAATTGCTCCCTGAGGGGTGTGCTGAAAGCCAAAGGCTAGGTTAGGGTTTGAGTGGGACGGTTGGCACAGCCCTTCACTCTGGTAGAGCCTCTTATTTGATACGACGAAGAGCTGATGACTAGAAATGTTGTTTAGCGTGTGGGGATGTGAAATTCCTGCAGAAATCTCTTTACATATCATGTTGACAGCCAGCGCTGGCCGAGTGTAATAAGAGGAACGCACTGTGTGATAAGATTACTGCTTCAACAGCAGACTACAAATACTGCTCTCAGGCACTTGGAAAACTTTAGTCATCGCTCCCTCTCGCTATGTATGTGCTTGGTTTGCATCTGTGAGTACATGTGTTACACTAACCTCAAAGCTCTGGAATGGTTCACACCAACAAGTGGAGACTTTTCACATGGAGTTCATTTGAGTAAATTGGATGTGGAGAAATTTAAGCAGCTGCTTTTGTTTATGTCTGCCCACACTGTCTGTCCAATTTCCAAACTGCTTAAAAATGTGCCAGACTAATCCTCCCTTAGAGGGTGACTGTGGAGATTGGAGAAACTCGCTTCATTTGGGACCTTTATCCTCTTAGTCTCGGCTGGGTACAGACCGAGCATCTGGTGATAAATGGGCAGTTTGCAGCCCGACAATTCATCATTAGCTGCTCTGCCTTATATGGAATTAAGTCACGCAAACCCCAGACTGGAAGTTTGGCCTTAACTGTGTTCACTGATCTTAGCCGGGATTCAGGTAGGAGCAATGCTGATGGCTTTGATGCCCCTTTGATTGGGGTAAACAAAAAACACATGATATGATGAGTTCCTTGGGTCCTGGCTAATGTTCCTCTCTCATCATTCACTGGACAAGCAGTGGGAAAGTTTGCCAGACAGCAATATTAATGGCAAGCTGTGTGGGTTTAGCTGGTTAGACTCCAGCAGTTACCCCAATGCACACTCTGGGGTCCCCAAACCTTGGCTCTTGCCAACCTGCGCCTAATAGGAGCCCTGTAGCTCAGTGGTTAGAGCAGTCGCTTTGCTAGCGAGAGGACCTGGGTTTGATTCCCGGGCAAGGTGAAATGTGGGCAAGTTTCTTTACTCCACACACCTCTGTTTACCAAGCAGTAAGTAGGAACCCGGTTAGTCGATTGGTGGATCGCATTTTCTGGAGTAATAATTCCTTCAAAATTTGCTTCATTTCACCCACAAAATGTACAGTCACTACATTTTACAGTACATTGTATGAAACGCTTTGAGATGTGTAGAAGACGTTATATGAAATTCAAGGATTATTATTATTATTGATAATACTTTCCAGAATTAGGTAAGCAGGATTTCCATGAATAGATGGGATG